AGAGAGGAAGAGTTACTGGTGATACCTGCTGAATTGATATAGACCTTGGTGTATTTGAATTACTTAAATGTATAATTTTTTTATTAATGTGGAGGAGACGGATTGTTTATAAATAGAGTTTGTGGAGTTAGAGATATTAATATTTGTTTACCTATATTTGAATATTAGCCTGGGATTTGGTTTGGGAAGTCCGGGGGGGGTGGGGGGGGTAGGGTTTTTACATTGTGATGTATTTGTGATGTGCTTTTTTTATGATGAAAATAATAAAAATTTATATTTGAAAAAAAAAAAAAAGAAACAGAGAGTGGATATAGAACTATAGTTATTTCTAAAAAGGATGTACAGGAGATTTTTATAAAACCTGTACTCTTTGTTATAATGAGAAGCCTTCTGAATGGGGGACAGATTAGAAAAAACATCTGGTGTAAGAAAGGAAGAGAAAGGGCTAAAGTCACAAATCTACTGTAAATCACTGCTTAGTTTCCTATTTTATTTGCAAAAGTTGGAGCTGTAATGTTATAATGGATATGTTTTGTGTGGTTCATCATACCCAGATTATCTAGAATCTAAAAAATAACAAAGACAGGGAAATAAATGACCTGTATTTTTGTTCTAGACCATAGACCAGTGATGGTGAATCTTTTAGAGACCGAGTGCCCAAAGTGCAACCCAAAACCCACTTATGCATCATCGGGTGCCAGGTGGGTGTGGCCCATTGGGTGGGTGTGGCCCATTGGGTGGGCGTGGCTGTGGTGGTAACGGCAGACTGAGTGAGACTAAAAAGTTCAATCAATCAATTCCAACTTTGCAAGATCTTTTTTTTCTCTGCGAGAAGTTGAAATTGACTGATTGAACCTTTTTTTTTTTTTGCACATGGCGGCGGAGGCCTAAAGCGAAAAGGTTTTATAAAACCCAGCTGAAGGGCTAGGACTGGGGCGACGGCACGCATGCCCACAGAGAGGGCTTGAGTGCCGCCTCTGGCACCCATGCCATAGGTTCGCCACCACTGCCATAGACTAATAAACATCTGTGCTACAGGATCAACTTGTTGAGCTTTGTGAAATGTTTGATTTTCATGAAAAAAATAGTTATTCTCTTCTTTGGTTGAAAATTAGAATGTATGTAAACATTAGCCAAATCATATGCAATGCATATTAAATGTAAATTTTATTAATTAAATACTTAAGAAGAAGAAGGAACATTTCGTAGAGCTCAGAAGAAGCTCAGCTCTTTTGAGAAAACAGAAGATTTCCTATTGATAGCCTTAAATATTTTGGGAATGAAACATTTCAGGTTTTCCATCTGTAGGCTGTCTGAGATGTCAACAGCCAATATGACCTACTGTTTTCCTTGTAAGTCTATAAATAAAAGGTAGCTTGTTTAACTGATCTTGCTACTGAAAGCAGAAGTGTGTATTAATGAGCTTTCTCTAATGGCACACTAACTCTATTTACAGCAGTGCTCCTGTGAAACCTTCTTCTTTACAGTCATAATTCATTTCCAGTGAATATGTACTCCACCTTATGGCCCCAAATGATGTATTTTTATTGGTTTCCTCCCCTTCCTGACAACTGACAGTTGTTCTAGACACCATTGCAATTAAGTATCCTTAGGAACACATTCAACATTTAATAATGTATTGATATTTGTGTTTATCCATGCCTTTATGAATTGCTGTGTTAATACATGGGCCTGATAAAATGGCACAATTATTTTTGAAAAATTGAGAACAGTGTAATTTGTCATTTTTGTTATGTTTTCAGCTCTTTATAGTAAGAAATTGTTTTGTTAAATATTTAATTCAAAAAGTCTCATGTGTTAAAATGTTCAGCTATAAGAACTTTGGCATGCAGGGATAACAGAAGCAGTATAGCAGCAGGTTAGGAAGTTTTCACAGGATGAAATTGACTTCTCAAGTCACAAAGGTTTGTACAGATGACCCTGTTGTCACATTTGCCGACATATGACCATCACAGAATAAGAATGTAAAATAGTCAAAAGAGTTTCTAAAAATAATTCTTAATCTATAAATCAAACATTTATTATTCTTGCATGTATATTAAATGCATTGGGTTAAATATGTTTGTGAAGTGTTGCAATTCCTAAATTTGCAATCTTATCTTAATTAGGTAAATGTGTGTTAAATAAATGCGCTTAATTCAGCTAACAAAAAAAAAATATAGCTGCACATCTTGCTGTTCTGACTCTGGGAAGCTCATAAAATTAAAAAGCAAAAAGCAGTACAAAGACAACCACAAAAACCCTGCAAAAATCATTAAAAGCAATAAAAGGATTAAACTATTAAAAACAATTTGTGGAAGAACATTGTTCATTTTCCTAGAAATATAACTATTTAATTGTCTCTTTACATCTCTAAATCCCCAGGCTAGATGACAGAGTCATGTCTTGCATTTCTAGAATGCCAATGATGTTCCTTTTTAAAAAAAATAGTAATTATATTAAAAATCACAACTACAATGATACAAAAGTAATGCAAACTAAAAAATTTAAAAGAGTAGAAAAGAAAAACAAAGTAGAAAAGAAAAAATGAGAATCTAGTAAAGAAGAATCTAGTAAAGATATAAAGAAATGACTTCCTCTTTATCTCAATAAGTATCAACAATTAAGTAACTCATCACCTCTTAAAATACAACAAATGTTCTCTTCTGCTCAAATCCCATCTCTTATTTATAAACAGATTCTTAAAAGCCTCATCAATCAATCAGAATAGAGCTGGAAGGGACCTTAGAGGTCTTCTAGTCCAACCCCCTGTTTAAGCAGGCGACCCTGTACAATTTCAGACAAGTGACTGTCCGGTCTTTTCTTATTAATTTTTCTTTGCCCCCTCTCATAAAATTCTTCAAAGCTTTAACAAGTCTCTTTTATAAATCTGATATAGGAAAATTATCCAGGTCACTCTCATGGTTGTTATTTGTATAGTCCTTTTAATTATTAATACATTGGCTGGTTTCTTTTGTATATCCATTGTATCATCTTTTTCTATATCATTCTTGTAACCAGTAATTTTTAGATCCACTTTCAGATCAGTCTCAATCTTGTCAGGTTAAACTTGTTAGTCTTCCATAATATCTTTGAAACACATTCTCTATCCACACAGCTTAATAGAGGCAGATATTCTTAAAATTAACTTCTGGTTCCATTGTCCAAAAACATCCTTCAGTATGTTCAAGGGCTAAAATATTTTGCTCCCTTTATTAGTAAATCAAACTTAAATGTTCTTCTTTATTAGTAAATCAAACTTAAATGTTCTTTTCCTTTAATTGTAATTTTTATTTCCTTCTAGTGTCCAACCTTCAAAGTCTCATCCTACCCTTCTTTTAAAGAATGCAAAACAAGATTAATTTCCCACTAATATATAATTCCAAATGCTTTTCAAATTCATCCGGACCCTTAGTTCATCTAAAATCAAAGTTTTAATCATCCCTTTGCTGTTTATTCCAGAAAAAAAATCAAGCCTTTAAACTTGTAGCTAAAACTTCTTTTGCTAAGGATTGAAGGAAACTCATCCACTGATGTAAAACTGGTATATCCAAAGGTTCCTAATAGTTGAACACCAGTTAACAAGCAGTTTCCAAAAGCAAAGTAAGAAAAGGAAGTAAGCTAGCCCAATGTCTTTAAAGGCGCAATATTGGATTGAATAAGTAACTATTCCCTCATCTTTCAGAGCTCTGAATCTGCTGGTGACTACTGTCTTGCAGTCTCCTTGTAAAGATGGAGCATTTGTGGGCAACATAATTTCAAAGGGACAAGTGTCCTGACCTTTCAAGGCCCATGAGATTGCATATCAGAATAACAAAGTTGGAAGGGACTTTGGAAGTCTTTTAGTCCAACTCCCACTCAAGCAGGAAACCCTACATCATTTCAGACAAATGGTTGTCCCATCTCTTCTTAAAAACCTTCAGTGTTGGAGCACCACAATCTCTGGAGGCAAGTCGTTCCACTGATTAATTGTTCTAACTGTCAGGAAGTTTCTTCTTAGTTCTAAGTTAGTTCTCTCCTTGATTAGTTTCCACCATTGCTTCTTATCCTACCTTCAGGAGAATATGTTGACCCCCTCTTCTTTGTGCCAACCCCTTAGATATTTGAATACTGCCATCATGTCATCCCTAGTTCTTCTTTTCATTAAACTAGACATAGTTTAATTTCTATAACTGTTCTTCGTATGTTTTAACCTCCAGTCTCCTAATCACCTTTGTTTCTCTTCTCTTCACTCTTTCTAGATTCCCAACATCTTTTTTTATATCATGGCAGCAAAAAACTGGATGCAATTCCAAGTGTGGTCTTAACGAGGCATTATAAACACTTCACTTATCTTGATTCTAACCATCTGTAAATGCAGCCTAGGATTGTGTTGGCTTTTTTGGCAGCTGCATCACATTACTGGTTAATATTTAAGTGATTGTCCACTAAGACTTCAAGATGCCTCTTTTTGCTCATCATTTTTCCAAGTGGGTAGTTGCAATTATCAAACTTTCTTACAAATTAGCATAGGAACTGTTCCTCTCCTGTGACTAATTAAATGCAATAGGCAAGAACGGTGTATCCACCAAGAAATTCTGTAAATATTAGAAGCTTCCAAACGTGCTCTGTGCAGGATATACCCCATGCATGTGAAGACCACTCCAAGAACTTTAGTTATCAGTAAGTATCTAATAGTTTTTTTTCCTAATGCTCCTTTATTTAATGCCATGTTTTGGAGGCTTAACACTGTACATATGTGAAAATTGTATTATCAGCCCATGTGCCATTCATAGTAAAATATTCAAACAGCAAAGCCAAATGTGTTTCATCCATAAATTTTAGCAGATGTTCTGAATTCTGGTTGATTTGTTGCATGCCCACTTTGGATGGTCTTTTAAATATTGTACTCATTATAAGACATTATGGTTTATTTAATAAAGGTTTACAGAGTTTTTTATGGCTTTATTGCAGTTTGAAGGATGTAACAAAGCATTTTCTCGGCTTGAAAACCTTAAGATCCACCTACGAAGTCATACGGGTGAGAAGCCTTATCTTTGTCAGCATCCTGGCTGCCAGAAAGCTTTCAGCAACTCTAGTGACCGGGCTAAGCATCAGCGAACACACCTGGATACTGTAAGCATGATGTTATTTCCTAAAATGCTCAGTGAAATACAGCTGTCATAGCAGGTCCTTTTCTGCAACCATCACAAGTTTCTTTCGATAAAATACAGCAATTTAGTCATTGCCATGATGGAAGAATGATGAAAATAGGGCCCATGGTATTCCTGAATGACAGAAAATAGAAAATAGAGCGAGTATTAGTAACAATCCAGAGATAGCAATAGCACTTAGACTTGTATACCGTTTCGTAGTGCACTCTCTAAGCAGTTTACAGAATCAGCATATTCCCCCAATAATCTGGGTCCTCATTTTACTGATCTCGGAAGGATGGAAGGCTGAGTCAACCTTGAGCCGATCAAACTCCTGATTGTGGCAAAGTTAGCCTGCAATGCTACACTGTAACCACTGTGCCACACGGCTCATGGTCTTACATGTTATTGGGTTTATTTATGTATATTGTTCTTCATTAACATATGATTTTAAGTGGTTTAACCTAAAGTTAGATTTTTAAATTGTAGTCATCTCAAAATATAACATACTAAAAACATGACCATGCATCAGATAAAAGAGTCAGCCAAAATATATAAAATATTAGGGTGAAGAAATCTTAGCTAATATTTTAGATAGTAGTGCTAGTACCTAACGAAGCATTAGAACCAGTAAATAGATATCTATAGTTGATTTCCTGTTCTTTCCACTACAAATTCCAGCATTGTTGATAATAATTGTAAGGAATCCTGGATTTTTTACCCAAAACATCAGGAGAGCATTTGGTTAAGGAAGGTTATAATACCTCAACCACAGAGAATCACCAAGTTTGCTTTTCTACTATTTTGTCATGCAATTAATTTGTCTTCATCTGAATTAATATTTTACAAACCTTTGGAAACCTTTCTCTGTAGACTTAAAATCTTTGCTGTGTGATTTTTTTTTAATTGAAATTCTTCCATGAATCATTTGAAACTAAAATGCATTTTGTTGCCTAAGATTATAAATGAAAGCCTGCATGCGTGATCCCTCATCTGCTGCCTTTTATAGGTTTTGGATATCAGCTCAAAATTGGCTGCCAAACACATCTGTAGGCCATCATATGAAGAAAATTGGCCTGTAAATATATTTACTTCTTTTCTATGCTCCACTCCACCATTTGCTTATATAACCTATATTTCTATAAAGGTGTCAGCTGAATGAATGAATGAATGCAGTTTTCCTTATCTCTCCCTGACTGGTGTGTAGAAATGATTTTGCATTTTTAGGATATTTCCCAGGTTCATCTTCAAACACTTTTCAAAATTAAAATACACATTCTCAACCAATAATCCTTTTTGTTTATGTTCTTTTCATGTTTTACAGCATTACAAGTCTCTCTCTCTCTCTCTCTCTCTCTCTCTCTCTCTCTCTCTCTCTCTCTCTCTCCCTCCCTCCCTCCCTCTCCCTCTCCCTCTCCCTCTCCCTCTCCCTCTCCCTCTCTCCTCACCCCCACATTAGCACATGTATCCACTTACTTTTTGGAATATTAGAATACATTACTCTATCCTTTTTTTATTATACCTCATTATAATGAAACTTTATTAATATACAATAATCCACAGCACTTGCAAGAAACAGAGATGAACAGGAGATGTAAAGAGGTTGTACCCGGAGGCAATTACAATCTAATGTTCTATTAACTTTCTACGAGACTTGGATAATGGCAGTGTTACCGTACTGCCCAGGTCATGTTATCCTCTACTATGGGCAGTCACCCATGAAAGCTAAGCAGACTCTTTAGTCATCTTAGCTACTGCTCCACAGCTCATAAGTCCTCCCTTTGTCTTTTTTGAAAGAGGTGAATATGTGGTTTAATGTTTGGCTGGGTGTTTATGTGGCAGAAACCTGGAGGTTAATTGATATTTACTTTTAAACTAGCTACACATTTCAGACAGTGCAGCATTAAGGAATGTGTAATGTACATTATGCCTTCCAAAAACAAACAAGCCACTCAGTCACATTTTCCAACCCAAGCACGCTTACAATAACAATGTTTTATTTATTTGAAAATCAGCTTTAGGGATTTGAATTTGTAATTACTTCTAAAATGTGGCTCTTTTGAAACTTAATATGTCATATAGGATGCATCTTTTTGAAGTTTAATGGCTTGACATTAATACAAGTGGAAGGGAGGGGGAGGGAAGGCAGATGTATCCCTCAAAGCAGTTTGTAGACTTTGTGATGTACGCAGAAAGAACCAAGTCCCTCTCTTTCCGTGTATCTTTTTGGATGGTCTTATTGCAAAGAGCCTCTTTAACTTTTCTACTCTGTTTTTCTCCCTTCTTCCTTTTTATTCCTTTGTTTGTACCGCTTATTCCATAATCTTCCTTCCTATCTGAAATACTTCTAATCAGCAAAAAGGTACTGTAATAATTTTAACTAACCTTTTAATTAATAACTTACTCTTGCTGAACCTATTCTTACATTTTTTGCGGTATTTATATTCTGCACAAGATAACATTCATTTTTATCCTGTTAATCTTCCCAGGGATTTTAGCTTCGTATCACACTAGCAGTTTTTGTTTTTGATTACTGAATATATAGTAAATGACAATGCATCTTGCATGCTGATGTTAGTGCTTCAAATGCATGTAACACAAAACTGGCAGTTCATGAGAGTTTAAACTCCAATCCCTTTTATAAGCCAGCAATGTAACCGAATACAGTGTGACAGTGAGATTGAAAAGGCTTGGACTAGTATGGATGGACATTTTCTGGTCTAGTTTTCCCATCCTTAATAATGTGTCGCCATTGCAGGGTAGAACTCTACCTAGTTAATTCCGCTAAGGAATTATTTAATGGTTTCCATCATCCTTCCTCAAATTTCAGTTCTCTGTGTGTTCCAGGCACTTTCAGCAAATTGACTTTCATATACAAATTTTTGGGTACATATCAGGTTAGCCTTTGGAGTCTCGAGCTGGTGAATGATCTTATTATTCCTTTGGAAATTTCCTGCTAGCACAAGAAGCAGGACTACTTACTCCTTTGGAGGTGTCTACAAAGAAAAGGGATTTATATGGACTGCCTATTTCTTATTGAATGCATGTGGAGTTGATTTCAGATTCCAAAGGCAGGTCAAATCTGTCATTTATCTTCTCTGAAAGGAGAATCTGTAAATAATTACGAAGACCTGCTAGAATGTACTGGTTTGATTGAATAGCCGATTATTAGGTTAGATTTAGGTCTCAGGCTATTCTGAAACTGGATTACATGTACAGTTAAAAAAAAAGTAGTAAGCTGACTGATTTTTGAATGTTGGCAATGTTATTAACCTTGTAATCCAAAATCATTTAATTTTGTCAGAACTTTTCTGTGTGCCAGTGAAAAGATATTAAAAGATATTAAAATTATAGCAAAAATGCTTTGAGACTGCATAATCATCCCAAGATTGGATATGACAGCTCAGCCTTCCATACTGTGAGATAACAGACACTAGAGAGCAATGGTGGGGCCAGCATGTAAACAGAGTAAAGAATAAATACTGGAGATCAAGGCTGCCTCTAATTTTTTTATACTTCCTTGGCTCTGTTAAGTTCCTGACAACTGTAGAGCATCCTTGTAATTATGCTTGTAATAGATAATAAAAGATAAAATATTCATATAAGGTAGAAAGCAAGTTTCCTTTAAGAGTCTGATTTGAGACATACATTTTAGATTGAATTTCTTAAATAATGATTTATGCCAGTATGAATACCTTCAAGGCTGCCCAGGTGATTTTCACTAGGATTGAATGCATTGGCTGATGAGCTGCCTGTCATTTATCATGTAGAAATGCTATTTGCATGAACTGGTGTTTCTATCTGCGGGTTGCCTATAGGAACTCAAGATGCATGACTGTGAAAACTTGATAAAACATCTGCAGAATTGTATGTATAGTTTCTGAGTATTGGAGACAGCAGAGGTATTCCTTAAAAGTGATTAATATAAATAATATATATATAAAACATTATTAAGTCATTCTAAATAGTTCAAGTTCTGATGCAGGTTTTTTGAACTGCACTTTTATGCAGTTGACGTAATTAAAATTTTATTAAATTCCCAAAGGTATAAAGCATTTTGGCTAAACTGAGAATGAAAACAATAAAAGAGAATAAAAAGTGACTGCTATAGCAGACCTGGATGTAAATTTGCCTTTTACATATATTCACCTGTAATTTGTACTTTCAAGCTGAACACACAGTTAAATGCTTTACAGCATGTTTGAACATCACCAATGACTATTACTGTTTCAGTTTGTTAACATAATAATTCATATCTTAAGGAGGTTATTTTCAAAGCAGATGTAATTTCCATGTTACCCTTTTCCCCCTTTTTCCTTTCCATGCACTTACAGAAGCCGTATGCTTGCCAGATTTCTGGATGCTCTAAACGCTACACTGACCCAAGCTCCCTTAGAAAACATGTGAAGGCTCATTCTGCCAAAGAACAACAGGTGCGTAAGAAGGTAAGACCAACATTCCGTGGTGAGCCGTGGTGGTGCAGTGGTTAGAATGCAGTATTGCAGGCTACTTCTGCTGACTGCCGGTTGCCTGCAGTTCGGCAGTTCGATTCTCACCAGCTCAAGATTGACTCAGCCTTCCATCCTTCCAAGGTTGGTAAAATGAGCACCCAGTTTGTTGGGGGAAATATGCTGACTCTGTAAACCACTTAGAGAGGGCCTTAAAGCACTGTGAAGCGGTATATAAGTCTAAGTGCTATTGCTATTCCAAAGACCAGGAATTCCGAGAAATATATGTCTACATGTGTAACTGAGTGGATATTGGGTTTTTTTCTTTCAGTGATTTCACTACAGGAATAGGATCTCAATTCATTTTCTTAAACCTATAGTGTTCATTTGTGTTAAGACAAGAGTCTCACTCTTTTGCTTGCAACTATTCGACCTGATGACACTGTTCTTCTAATTGTACTTAGGTCAGCTAATGAATTGATCTCTGATCAGATTCTGAATCCTATCTACAGATAGTTCTTGATTAATGACTGGTTGTTTAACAACTGTTCAAAGTTATAATGAGCTCAGAAGGGATACTTTAGAGCAGAGGCTCCCCAATCATTTGGGCACCAGGGACTGGTTCTGTGGAAAAAGATTTTTCTGCGGACCAGAGGGGGCATGGTTTCGTGTGCTGCCTGCATCCAGCGGATGGGGCTTTGCGTGTTTGTGCAGACCGGTTGGTGGCATGCCGCAGCCCGGTACCAGTCCACAGACTGGGGGTTGGGGACCCCTGCTTTACAGGTTATAAAGCAGTTTCATGCCACACAATTTTATCTTGGGTGACAAGTTGCCAAGCACCCCACATTCATGGAAATCTACTATGAAAATTGTTAGTGAATAAGTACAGAAGTTAGTTTCTCTCTTTGGTGGGGGGGAATTTCCTCCTTTTTCTTTTATTGAATTTTGTATTTCTATCAACCAGATGACTTTAAAACTGCTCTTCTATCAAATGTGCACTTTTATTTGAACACAATAAGATAAAGCATAAAGCAGAAGTAGCTGAACCAGTATCATAGCTGTCTGTTTTCAAAAATTCTTTAATAGTTTAATTTATTAAATTGGTAGTTCATTTAGTATGCTTAGCTTATAGTAGATCAACAAACAAATCTTAATTGGTTTATTTTTTACAATAGCTTTCTAACATTCTGTCTTTCTACATCATAAGCTGACTTGAAGTAATCAAACTCCAATCTGCTTAAGTTCCATTTATATGTGACAATGGATTCTGTTTATTTTGATGTTCAATTGAGCAGGACTTTCCTGCCTATTCATCTTGGGCAATTAACAATTCTGGGTTGTTATTTATAAAAAAATACTACAGTGGTCTGTGAAAATAAAAGCAATATTGAACATTGCAAAATAAAAATATGTTATAGAAAAACAGTCTCAATCAGAATAGAGCTGGAAGGGACCGTGGAGATCTTCCAATCCAACCCCCTGCTCAAGCAGGAGACCCTATATCATTTCAGACAGGTGGCTGTCCAGTCTTTTCTTAAAAACCTCCAGTGATGAAGCACCCACAACTTCTGGAGACAAGCTGCTCCACTGGTTAATTGTCCTCACTGTTAGGAAGTTTCTCCTTAATTCCAGGTTGCTTCTCTCCTTGGTTAGTTTCCATGCACTGTTTCTTGTCTTGCCTTCTGGTGCTTTGGAAAATAAGCTTTGACCCCCCTCTTCTTTGTGGCAGCCCCTCAAATACTGGAATACTGCTATCATGTCACCCCTAGTCCTTCTTTTCTCTAGACTAGTCATGCCCAATTCCTGCAACCGATTTTCATGTTTTTGTCTCCAGGCCTTTAATCATCTTAGTTGCTCTTCTTTGCACTTTTTCCCAAAATCTCAACATCTTTTTTTAATGTGGTGACCAAAAACTGGATGCAGTATTCCAGGTTTGCTCTTACTAAGGATTTATAAAATGGTACTAATACTTCATGTGATTTTGATTTTATGCCTCTGTTTATACAACCAAGGATTGTATTAGCTTTTCTGGCTGCCGCCGCACACTGCTGGCTCATGTTTAAGTGACTGTCCACTAGGACTCCAAGGTTTCTTAGATAGATATTTCATTCCTTAGAAATGAAACCCTCATTTTTAATGTGTGCCAGTGTGCTCACAGTAAAAAATGACAATAAAAGTTATCTCTTAAATGATAATCAATAGTATATTTTTTAAAATAAAAGTGAGCGGGAAAAATATAAACAACAACAAAAAGAAGTTAGTATTCAAATATCAAACATTTCATTTTCAAGAATCCAGCAGGAAGAGAAAATGGATGAATTTTCTGGGGGAAAAAAGCCACAAAAAGCCTGAGTTCTATGAGGTAAATGTACTATTCCTGAAAGAGGCTAATAAAGCATCCAGCATCTGGAGACATCCATGGCAAAGTGATGGGGTTGGGGGATATAAAAAAAAAATCACATTGACAAATGCAACCATGTAGCTGAAGCCTTGCCACTTTGTACATGTGTGAGATGAGATACAAAAGAAATGAGGGTTTCATACTGCAGTTGTAATTCCTTTCTTGAATAGTTCTATCATGCAGATCTACAGATGCCTTGTTTAGTATCTATGTTGGCCAGAGCCAAGCTTTCTTAGAACCAAGGACATAGAAGTTGTGTAGGCTTCAGGTTTTGAGGCAAGCATCCCCTTTCCTGGAGTTTTCAACCTGAAATGTCTTATGCATGTAGTACTAGTACATCTGCTTCAACATTGAATCTTTACTTCCTAGTTTATTTAAGCAGCATTGCCCCAATGAAATTCTATTCTTAGATCAAAACTAAGCAGTTATGCAATACTTATAGCAGTAGTAGTAACAATGTAAACCTTGATTAGCTGGTTGTATTCTAGAATATTGAATGTTTATATAAACTGACTGTAAGAGTGAATGCTAAACTGCTTGACCTAGATCTTTTAATTTAGAATAACTAAGCCCAGAGAAGGGCAGAATTTAAATCTATAAACTTCAAAACAATAAGCATTTATTAGCAGCCATAACAGGGGATAGATATTTGGGGGTAATTTGAGCTTTGTGTTATGACAAAAACTTGGCAACATCAGTATGTTTGAAAAAGAATTAGAAATGCTTTTCTTTCTAAATTCTCCTCTCCTGCTGTTTCTAATATGATCGACATTGTGGCTTGCGAAGAGGGCATGCTTCAGACACTTTTGCCAGTGCATTAATTTACATGGAAAACAGCTGACAGATCGGCAATACCTTTGCACATGACCGACAGCCTACCTTTTTGCTCATTTTAATCTGATAAGTACCAAGGCAGTTAACTAATTGATACATTTCTTTGAGAAACAGAACTTAAGATATGAGAGGCAAATACTGTGCAGCTCAGTTACTCTATAGAATTATAAAATGCATAATAATTTTTTAAGAATAAACATGATTGTAGATTAGCATGATAAATTTGCCCAAATTAGAAGCACTAAACGCCTAATATATCTCCCCTTGCTGAACTAAGGGAAACAATGATGTTTTGTTTCTTGCATGTATGTATAGACTATGGGCAAAAAGCCATAGATATTAAATTAGCATTTGAGTTCTACTCTTTGAAATGAAAATCTCTTTGTTTTATCCTCCTCTTCTAGCTACATTCATATTCTGATGCAGAACGAGAAATATTAAGTGAATGCTTAACTATGCAGCAGCTTCACCCTCCTTCACAGCACATTTTGGATGGGAAATGTGGGAGATCAATGAGCCACCACGATCTCATTACAGGTGGGAGTATTTCTTTTAAATACAAAAACAGGATTCACCATGGAGAACTCAGATGCAAATTCCATCTAACTATAAAACTTGCTACATGCCTTGAACAAACATTTCCGCATACCTTTCAGGATTTCTTTTAAGAATATAGTACTCCAGAGAACATATCAGAGGAAGAATGTAATAAAGCAATTATGTTCAGACCTGAAATTCAAAAGTAAGATTAAAACAATTTGTTAATAATCGTGCTGTCACAAATAAATATGTAAATAATTGACTTATGTTTTGAAATATGCCCTTGATGTAGCTGATGGCATTCTCTTGAGTTCTTTTTTTAGAGACTATAATTATATCATTTTTTTCCCAACAAGAAACAATTCCTGACTACTGTCAGGAAAATCCACATAGGACCAATTACTGTGATAGGATTCTCCATTTATCTTCTAACACCTTGTCATCCAAATAAAGGTTCTCTGGACCTATGAAAGCATTGAATATGAACTTAGGAAAATGACAGAATGCTATTCCATAATGACATCTTTGGAACATGCCAAAAAGCCATGTGGACATCTCTATTAACAGCTATAGTAGTTGAAGACAGAAGCAGTAATTATGGTCTTGCATTTTCCACAAGTTCCACTAAGAAACATTTCCCTAACTTCATGCCCTTCATATGTACATGTTCACACAGTCCAGAATTCCTAGTAGTTTGGGAGTTGCTGTCTGATCTCATCTGAAGGAAGTCTGTTTACCATGTCATGTAAAATACTTGGTAGCCCAGTTTTCCATACTGACGATACTTTGAGTTCAGGTGACCAATTTTAACTTTGTTTCTATGTTAGAATGTGTACCAAAGAACTGCCATACCTTTATTAATGAATGTGTTCTTGGCACTCCCATCTGTCATGAATGCATGAACAACTTTTTTGCTTTATTACCACCATGTATTGCTTTCATAGCTTTTCTTAATGGCACATGTGTTGAAACGTTACTTGAAAGATGTCATGGGAATAAAGCTTACAACATTGGTTTCACTGCTTCTTAGCATTGACAGTTAAACTGATTGTATGTCTTTTGAAGTACATAAACCAGCCAGTATTATCTGCAATATTATTAAGTCAATCTGAAATGCTTCTTTTTAGGGTCTGATTATATAGAACCTAACGTCATACCAGTTATTTGAAATAGAAATACTTTGGTATTTTGTGGAATTATAAACAAAGAGAGAATGTGCTTGCCTTAATGAACTTACCATCTAAATTGTGACAGCAGGAGAAGAGGGAGTCTTGGAGAAGTAAGAAAGATAGATGCAGGCATAATGGGATAGACAGGTGTTCATGGAATTGGGAGTGCTTAGGCTTCATTTTAGTACAGACTCAGTTAGCATCTTCCAACCTAGTAGGTTATCTACATGTGCTAGAGACATGTGGAGAGCACTAAGTTGGAGAGGGACTGAAGTGATACTTGGCTAAATATAGCTATTAATTCAACAATAATGGCTCAGAACCTTATGGGTAGGATGTCAAACTGCTAATAGATATTTGAAAAACAGAGCATAGAGCAGCATACACATCCAGCCACCAGGACCTACTTAGAACCAACAGGTGGGTTGCAAGCCGTGGTAGGATTCCATTTGGAAGGTTACTTCATTAGCATTAGTGAATCAAATTACTTTGTAGCAGACTACGGGCTTTTAAAAAATGTACCGTCAAATCTTCTATACTATGCCTCATTCTATTGTCTTTGAAAATATTTGTTTAAGCTAAATGTGCTTTCTCAAAGAAATAATAGCGTAAGGAATAGAGTGCTGCTTATTTAGATTACCTAGAACCTTTCCCCTTCAACGAAGTCTGCCGCAGATTTTAAATAGGCCAAAGACAAAGTTAGCATCTGGAGATGTTTTCCATCATTCTACTCCTGTTATGCTGAATTTCAAAGCAATGAGCCCATGTGCTTAGGCTAAAAGGGGAGAATGCTTTAAAAGTGCTCTTGTGGTTATTGGTTTTGCAGTGCTGCATTTCCAAATAAGTGAAGTGAATGTAGTACTGCTGCTTCATAGAAAATTCAGGCTGCAACTCTTTAGGTAAAGAACTCCAAAAGAACCTAGTTAAACCAGACAGAGGAGCCAGCTAGCCCAGCACTCTGTTGCCAACATGTTACTGTTCTAATAGAATGGTTTCACATACATTATAGTCCACCTTACGTCCATGTATATGATAGTCCTCTATGTTAGAGCTATTGTTATCATACCAGTTTTACAAGAGAGACTAGCTCACATCTTTCTAATCAATTTGCTGTAAATCCAGTTTGAAACACTGATAGAAGAAAAGAATAAATTCAGATAACTTGGGACGTAAATTTTCAAAATTTAAAGTGAAATCTTTGTAAAATCCAAAACTTAGCACAGGGTATTATTAACTTTCTGGAATATGAACCAACAGTTATAATGTTGGGGTTTTTTTAAAAAAAAACAAAACAATTTTTTTAACAGATATGGATAACATTTACGAACATGGTGTGTTTTCTGAGTGAATGAAACTTGCCAGTTTTTAGACAAAAAAAAGCAGAATAGTTTTTATGACACATTATTAAAATAAAAGAATGCATACATTGTTGTTTGTGAATATAGTGGGCCATTAAATTGTAAAGGTCTTTTTTTTAGGAGAAACTTTTAAACTATTTTATTTCTTAGCAAATATGAGTGAGTAATTGTTAGCCCTTCCTGAGAGAATAAAGTTTCCACAAATTTATCCAGAATTGATGGAAGGGAAGTATTGTTCCAAAGAACCTGGCAGAGAGTTAAAAGGGATTCTTCTTTTCCCATCACTTTAGGAGCAATTTATATGAATATGACATATATTGTAGAGATGGGCTTTAAAAAGTAATCTGCAAAATTTTGGAAGTGTAGGTGGAATCCAAGCACTATTATTAATAAACAACAGTTTTAAGTAGTTCGTTATTTTGGCAGAAATGGGCAGTATTTCTTTTGCATATATTAGTTTAGAGTGGGTGTGAAACGCATTCTTGAGAGAGAAGTATAGCAATAGCATTTGTACTCATTAAAATATCATACGAAGAAATCAAGGAGCCTTTTGCCAGTTCATAAGCACATAAAGAAGTACTTGATGCAAAACTCATTTTCTTAAAATAATTGACACACAACCAAGGTTCTAGCTCTCAAGGCGCTTGTGCGTGGAATAATGGATTGGAGGTTTCTCACTCTTTTGCTGCAGAGAGATGAAGACCAGAGCTGATCAATGTGGCCTTTGAGTTCAGCAGTCCATCTAACATCTCCCTACTTGTAAACTCTTCCGGGTATTCCTTCCCCTTACCCGCTTTTAGGCAGAGAGGTGGTTCTCTTTACTCACTTTGCTTCATATGGAAAACCTAAGTTGATTCCTAGGTTTACTTTATGAGCAGGAGCACAGAAAACAGCACTGCTGGCATGCTAGTTCTCTTCCAGCTACTTGTAACTCAAAGATTCTCTTTTTAATTTGCAGACAGGCAGAATCTTTAGGAAAAGCAGGTTTTTATTGCTGATAGTAAACCAGATTGTAAGCCAGTGATGGTGAGCCTTTTAGAGACTGAGTGCCCAAAAACTGGCCCCGCCCCCACTCCACACACCCCTGCCCCGCCCCCACTCCACCTGCCCGCAGAGCCATTCACCGCTTCCAGGCCCCACTGCAGATCACCCAGCAGCACCATGGCAGCCACGCCCCGTAGCATCAACTGTGCGCGATGGGGCGTGAGGGCAGAGTCTTGTCTACGCTGCATGGCTGCCATGTCCTTGACTGCACTGCTCCGCGTGAGGAGGGTGTCATGGGTGGAGGCAAGGGTGGGGCAACAGCACATGTGCCCACAGAGAGGACTCCGAGTGCCACCTCTGGCACCCATGCCATAGGTTCGCCACCACTGTTCTAAGCAGTCCTGCTTGCATCTTCAGCCAAATATAGTCACAAAATGCAATGAAAGAGTATATAGTCACTCCTTGTGTAAAAGCAAACTTGTCAATCACAATCTACTTTTTACGTTTGTCATGTGTTTCTGTGTGTGTGTGTGGGCACGCACATGTGTGTGTGTGTGGTTGTGGGATGTAGTCCTGAGTTTCAGAAGGGAGGGCATTTCCAGAAAGCAAAAAGACAGCAAAGGTGCTGCTTTAGTCTGGCAAGATTTATGTAAGGCGCAAGGAACCAAAAATGACGTGCATAATTACTTTTGAGTAGTTACTTTATTGTGTTCACCTATTGACAGACATCTTGCCAAACTAAAGCAACAGTCTGCTAACTATTAGATATACTCTGTGTCTTTCTAGGGAGGGGTCTGCCTTCGCCCTTTTCCTGAATATCAAATATTCCAAGCTTCATGGTCTCTTTGCTCTCTGGGAAAGGGCCCCTCCCTCCTGCAATTCGGGACTGCATTCTTCCACCACTGCTTGTGGTCATTTTTATCTGATTCTGGATTGCCTAAATCACTCTATTGTAGTTCTAATCATTTTGGAATAACTTGATTGGTTTTGGAGAAGACCCACATTACTTCAGAGGAAGTACAATCTTCTCTGAAGTAGCTCACTGTGATTTAGAATAGTTTTCAGCAGATCATATATCCTTAGAGTGTTAACCATCCACCATGTTGACCCCAGTTTTGAGATGTTTGTGGGACTTACAGGAAAATAATACATACAGTGTTGAGGACTTTCCTTTTGTTTGCTTTTTCTGAACTTGCAATTTTATTTCTTTTATCTTTGCAGTTACTTGGCAGAATCCCTAAAAAGCCTTTAGCCCAGATGATTGTGATGCTAGTTTTCTAACAGATGTTAGCGCTAAAGGTTAAGCCATTTAGATTTTGATGGATTACATGTATTTATAATCTGAAGTGGTTAATGTGTTAGGAAACCACACACACACAAACACACACCAAGCTAAGGTATCTACCAGTAGTCTGCGCTTATGCAGCTTAGGTGCAGCACACTGTACCTACAGTGAGTGACCATTCATATGAGCAAACACAGAGGA